GCCGATGATCACGTTCTTGAGCGTGGCACCGGGCTCCACCATGAACACGGCCGTCTGCCACCCGCTCTCCTTCTGGCCACCGCACTTGACGTTCGAGCGCGCGTACGTCTTCATGCCACCGTCGAATGTCTGGCCCTTCTTGACCGTGTACGGCTCCTTCAGGTAGACCGTTCCCTTGCTGGCAGGCCACGACCCGGTGGGCATGGGGGCGGCCTCGGAGCGCACGAGGCGACGGAAACCACGGCGGCGACTGCGACGGTGAAGACGGAGATGACGTTGACCATGTTGAGGATGGAGTAGTTGAGTATCGAAGTTTGACGGTTGGATGCGTCGGTAGCTTGCAGCGAAGAGCGAAAATTGAATAATGAGGTGGGGTGAGGAAGTCTGTCCGGCGTTCGGCTCTCAAATATCGCGACGACGGCAGTTGTTGGTCGAGGTGCAACAAAAAGGAGTGTGTTCGATTGTCAGTCACCGAGAAAGCGGTAATCGTTATTGCGATGCTGACAAATCCTGTCGTCGTTGCTGTGAACGCCGGATCCTGGAGGCCAGATGCAGTGGTGAGAACAGCAGTAGAGAGTTCGCTGGACCACTTGAATCAAGTCTTGATGTCTAGGCTGGAGATGGACACGAAGATGACCACTGTGTAACACGGTGCGTTTAACCGCCACATGCGACTAATTTTCCTGCCTCGTGTCCAGCTGTACGGCTCGTCCATACGAGGAGGCGGCCCAGGCGCATGACGCCATTTTGCTTTAGCATGGCTGCGGCCAACGAGAAACGGTGCTCCCCGAAAATATTGACGGTTTCTGAACAATACTTACGCTAATATCAATGATAGAAGTTCGTTCCGAATATGTTGAATAAAAAGGCAGATATACTGTACTTTTAATTGACTAAGGTTAATCCCGATACAAATCGCGACCTTACAAGATCGGATGCCGTCTGATGGTCGGTGTCCCAAGGATTAGCATCGGGTGGCCGCCACCAATTTTGCTGTAGTCGCCACCGTGGCGACTACAGCAAAATTGCTAAGAGAACGGACAGCGAAACCATCGCTTGATCGCTGCGGCATCGTCGGCCGAAATCAGCCGCCGGGGGCCCCAGCAAGGCCATGCGTAGCGATGTGGGTTTTATGAAGTGTTGCAGAACTATTACGCGGATTTCTGAGAGGGGCAAGTCTTATCTCTTCATTATTAATAGTTGCCCAAGACTGCGAGTTTGTAAACGCACCCAGACTAAAATACTAAAGCAGACTAATTACTCGTGAGTGGCCAAGCGATTCAGAATTATATTAACTTAATAAAGGTGGCAACGGCGTATCTGGAGCACAGTGCTGGACTATAACAGCAGTAGCAACACCGGGTCTGCACGAAGTGTTCACGATGAGCTTGAACGAAATACATCCAACGAAGGCGTGAAAAGTGCGCACAGGATAGCACATCACACGTGCGTGAGCGCAGCTCTATCGATAAAATGACAGCAATTTGCATTAATACGTGCACACCAGACGTGCGTCTTTTGAGGCAATCCCACAAAAGCTGGTCTGCTGCGTTGGTGGTCACACTGATCACTATAAATTGTCAGCGATACTTTGCAAACACCCGCTGCGTGATTTCGGTTCCCCTCTATCGGAGGGAGTCCACACACTTGTTCCGCGCCCTCCCTAGCTATGATACAATCTGCTTCGTATTCACCGCGCTCATGAGTGCCAACAACACAAGAACAGATGCGTGAAGCAGAAAATTTGTGTTCATACGTTATTTCCACGTATCAATAGGAGGTGGTGGTGCCGTCTTCAGCGCACGGCTTCGGTGTCAAGGTCAATGGTGGGCGTCTTAGTTGTAGTGAGTGACTGCAATAGCGTGCCGCAAAATACGGATGCCACTACCTGTAATGGCCGTCAGCGACACACCCGCTTATTGTCGCTCGAAACTTGATTGACCCAATTTCCTTGGTCAGGTTATGAGAGACTTCGAATTCGTGCACGCCCTCAGTGAGAGCGCACACAACTTGAAAGCTCGTGTCGTAAAATTACATAGTTGAACCCTTTCGCTAAAAGATTCACCCTACTTTACACCATGTTGATGATCAACAAACTGTAAAAAAAAGGTGAAACACATCTAAATTTCTAGTGATTTACTCATGGACGACACAATTACGCCGATTCCACCACACACAAATGGCTAACAATTCCGGAGGACCAGCAATCCAGACGCGAATCCTGGAGCATTGGGTATTGCAGACCTGCTAGCTTATGCGTAGGAGATGGTGGAGTACTGGCAGAGCGACCCCGACGGACCGGCGCCCAGGTTCTTGGGCTCGCCCGAAGTGGAGCCCTGCGACCACTGGCACACGTCCACCTTCTTGCCCTTGATCTTGATGTTCTGGAGCGTGGCCTGGTCGCCCCAGTTCTTGTTCACCGTCACGAGGCTCACCTTGCCGTTCACGGCCAGCACGTTCGTGAGGCTCACCTTGCGAGACTTGTCGCCGCACGTGCCGCACGAGCGGTAGAGCTTGCCGAAGTCCTGCGCGTAGAAGCCCTCGATGGAGACCGTGCCCAGGCCGTTGTGCTGGATGACCTTGTCGTCGGCCGAGCGCGCGCCACCGCCGATCACCTTGGTCACGCTGCTGGCCGAGCCGCCCTTGATGCTCAGCGCGTCCTCGCACACGTCCTCCCACCACACGTTCTGGATCGTGCAGCCGTTCTGCTCGCAGTGCACGCCCTCCATTTGGTCCTTGCCGATGATCACGTTCTTGAGCGTGGCACCGGGCTCCACCATGAACACGGCCGTCTGCCACCCGCTCTCCTTCTGGCCACCGCACTTGACGTTCGAGCGCGCGTACGTCTTCATGCCACCGTCGAATGTCTGGCCCTTCTTGACCGTGTACGGCTCCTTCAGGTAGACCGTTCCCTTGCTGGCAGGCCACGACCCGGTGGGCATGGGGGCGGCCTCGGAGCGCACGAGGCGACGGAAACCACGGCGGCGACTGCGACGGTGAAGACGGAGATGACGTTGACCATGTTGAGGATGGAGTAGTTGAGTATCGAAGTTTGACGGTTGGATGCTTGGTTGCTGGTCGGTAGCTTGCAGCGAAGAGCGAAAATTGAATAATGAGGTGGGGTGAGGAAGTCTGTCCGGCGTTCGGCTCTCAAATATCGCGACGACGGCAGTTGTTGGTCGAGGTGCAACAAAAAGGAGTGTGTTCGATTGTCAGTCACCGAGAAAGCGGTAATCGTTATTGCGATGCTGACAAATCCTGTCGTCGTTGCTGTGAACGCCGGATCCTGGAGGCCAGATGCAGTGGTGAGAACAGCAGTAGAGAGTTCGCTGGACCACTTGAATCAAGTCTTGATGTCTAGGCTGGAGATGGACACGAAGATGACCACTGTGTAACACGGTGCGTTTAACCGCCACATGCGACTAATTTTCCTGCCTCGTGTCCAGCTGTACGGCTCGTCCATACGAGGAGGCGGCCCAGGCGCATGACGCCATTTTGCTTTAGCATGGCTGCGGCCAACGAGAAACGGTGCTCCCCGAAAATATTGACGGTTTCTGAACAATACTTACGCTAATATCAATGATAGAAGTTCGCTCCGAATATGTTGAATAAAAAGGCAGATATACTGTACTTTTAATTGACTAAGCTTAATCCCGATACAAATCGCGACCTTACAAGATCGGATGCCGTCTGATGGTCGGTGTCCCAAGGATTAGCATCGGGTGGCCGCCACCAATTTTGCTGTAGTCGCCACCGTGGCGACTACAGCAAAATTGCTAAGAGAACGGACAGCGAAACCATCGCTTGATCGCTGCGGCATCGTCGGCCGAAATCAGCCGCCGGGGGCCCCGGCAAGGCCATGCGTAGCGATGTGGGTTTTATGAAGTGCTGCAGAATTATTACGCGGATTTCTGAGAGGGGCAAGTCTTATCTCTTCATTATTAATAGTTGCCCAAGACTGCGAGTTTGTAAACGCACCCAGACTAAAATACTAAAGCAGACTAATTACTCGTGAGTGGCCAAGCGATTCAGAATTATATTAACTTAATAAAGGTGGCAACGGCGTATCTCGAGCACAGTGCTGGACTATAACAACAGTAGCAACACCGGGTCTGCACGAAGTGTTCACGATGAGCTTGAACGAAATACATCCAACGAAGGCGTGAAAAGTGCGCACAGGATAGCACATCACACGTGCGTGAGCGCAGCTCTATCAATAAAATGACAGCAATTTGCATTAATACGTGCACACCAGACGTGCGTCTTTTGAGGCAATCCCACAAAAGCTGGTCTGCTGCGTTGGTGGTCACACTGATCACTATAAATTGTCAGCGATACTTTGCAAACACCCGCTGCGTGATTTCGGTTCCCCTCTATCGGAGGGAGTCCACACACTTGTTCCGCGCCCTCCCTAGCTATGATACAATCTGCTTCGTATTCACCGCGCTCATGAGTCGGCCAACAACAAGAACAGATGCGTGAAGCAGAAAATTTGTGTTCATACGTTATTTCCACGTATCAATAGGAGGTGGTGGTGCCGTCTTCAGCGCACGGCTTCGGTGTCAAGGTCAATGGTGGGCGTCTTAGTTGTAGTGAGTGACTGCAATAGCGTGCCGCAAAATACGGATGCCACTACCTGTAATGGCCGTCAGCGACACACCCGCTTATTGTCGCTCGAAACTTGATTGACCCAATTTCCTTGGTCAGGTTATGAGAGACTTCGAATTCGTGCACGCCCTCAGTGAGAGTGCACACAACTTGAAAGCTCGTGTCGTAAAATTACATAGTTGAACCCTTTCGCTAAAAGATTCACCCTACTTTACACCATGTTGATGATCAACAAACTGTAAAAAAAAGGTGAAACACATCTAAATTTCTAGTGATTTACTCATGGACGACACAATTACGCCGATTCCACCACACACAAATGGCTAACAATTCCGGAGGACCAGCAATCGAGATGCGAGTTCTCGAGCATTGGGTATTGCAGACCTGCTAGCTTATGCGTAGGAGATGGTGCTGGTGGAGTACTGGCAGAGCGACCCCGACGGACCGGCGCCCAGGTTCTTGGGCTCGCCCGAAGTGGAGCCCTGCGACCACTGGCACACGTCCACCTTCTTGCCCTTGATCTTGATGTTCTGGAGCGTGGCCTGGTCGCCCCAGTTCTTGTTCACCGTCACGAGGCTCACCTTGCCGTTCACGGCCAGCACGTTCGTGAGGCTCACCTTGCGAGACTTGTCGCCGCACGTGCCGCACGAGCGGTAGAGCTTGCCGAAGTCCTGCGCGTAGAAGCCCTCGATGGAGACCGTGCCCAGGCCGTTGTGCTGGATGACCTTGTCGTCGGCCGAGCGCGCGCCACCGCCGATCACCTTGGTCACGCTGCTGGCCGAGCCGCCCTTGATGCTCAGCGCGTCCTCGCACACGTCCTCCCACCACACGTTCTGGATCGTGCAGCCGTTCTGCTCGCAGTGCACGCCCTCCATTTGGTCCTTGCCGATGATCACGTTCTTGAGCGTGGCACCGGGCTCCACCATGAACACGGCCGTCTGCCACCCGCTCTCCTTCTGGCCACCGCACTTGACGTTCGAGCGCGCGTACGTCTTCATGCCACCGTCGAATGTCTGGCCCTTCTTGACCGTGTACGGCTCCTTCAGGTAGACCGTTCCCTTGCTGGCAGGCCACGACCCGGTGGGCATGGGGGCGGCCTCGGAGCGCATGGAAGCGCCCGAGGTGACGGAAGCCACGGCGGCGACTGCGACGGTGAAGACGGAGATGACGTTGACCATGTTGAGGATGGAGTAGTTGAGTATCGAAGTTTGACGGTTGGATGCTTGGTTGCTGGTCGGTAGTTTGCAGCGAAGAGCGAAAATTGAATAATGAGGTGGAGGGAGGATGTCTTCTCGGGGTTGTTCTCAAATATCGCGACGACGGCAGTTGTTGGTCGAGGTGCAACAAAAAGGAGTGTGTTCGATTGTCAGTCACCGAGAAAGCGGTAATCGTTATTGCGATGCTGACAAATCCTGTCGTCGTTGCCGTGAACGCCGGATCCTGGATGCCAGATGCAGTGGTGAGAACAGCAGTAGAGAGTTCGCTGGACCACTTGAATCAAGTCTTGATGTCTAGGCTGGAGATGGACACGAAGATGACCACTGTGTAACACGGTGCGTTTAACCGCCACATGCGACTAATTTTCCTGCCTCGTGTCCAGCTGTACGGCTCGTCCATACGAGGAGGCGGCCCAGGCGCATGACGCCATTTTGCTTTAGCATGGCTGCGGCCAACGAGAAACGGTGCTCCCCGAAAATATTGACGGTTTCTGAACAATACTTACGCTAATATCAATGATAGAAGTTCGTTCCGAATATGTTGAATAAAAAGGCAGATATACTGTACTTTTAATTGACTAAGCTTAATCCCGATACAAATCGCGACCTTACAAGATCGGATGCCGTCTGATGGTCGGTGTCCCAAGGATTACTACAGCAAAATTGCTAAGAGAACGGACAGCGAAACCATCGCTTGATCGCTGCGGCATCGTCGGCCGAAATCAGCCGCCGGGGGCCCCGGCAAGGCCATGCGTAGCGATGTGGGTTTTATGAAGTGCTGCAGAATTATTACGCGGATTTCTGAGTAGTAACCGAGCCCTTCCCAGCACTTCAGCACGTCCTCTTCAGGTGCCAAAGCCAGATCCGTCAGCGTTGGGAAACGTTCAATAAACCGGT